TATATATATAAAATTTTTTTTTATCCATTCATTCTTTTATGGACATTTGGATTGTTTCTAGTTTAAGATTCTTCAAACAAAGTCATCTTGTTTTGTTTGTTTTGCTTTTTGTGTTTTGTTGTTGTTGTTGTTGTTGTTAATTGCTTAGACTAATTCTATATATTCTGACTACCCTGCAGTACGTAGACACTGATGTCTTGGCTTAGTTCTTTTTCTTTTTTAAAAATATGTAATTGTTTATTCCCTAACTCCTCTTTCTTTCTTCTTTCTTTCCTTCCTTTCTTTTTCAATTATTAACTCTGGTTTCCTAGGATTCACTCCTGGGTCAGCATAGCTTAGTGGTAGGCCACAATTGGTCAGAGGTTGTACCTAAACACCTTAAGCTAGTCACGATTTCAACTTTTGCCGAGTTCCTAGGATTCACTCCTGGGTCAGCATAGCTTAGTGGTAGGCCACAATTGGTCAGAGGTTGCACCTAAACACCTTAAGCTAGTCACGATTTCAACTTTTGCCGAAAAGATCTGTGTGGGTTAGGACACACATTCACCATTTCAGCATTTTACAGATCTTCCCTGGGCTACCCTTTCTGTTTGTGAAGGACTCATGTTTAACCAGGATAGGTAGATAACTATGGCCCTCTTTGGTTTCTCCTAAGTATTTACAAACCTCTGGAAATAAGTGGGAGCTTATCACAGTCCACTATGGCCATCTCATTTCCCAAAAGACATCATTCTCATTTGATGTCTTTGTCAAATTTTGTCTGGTTTGTTCTTTGCCTCGACCAATATTGCAGCCTCTGACAGCTATAATGTTGACCTTCGATTTTTTGCCTCCCATTACTGTTGTTATCTACAAATTCTTTGGGTATGGGGCCTTTCTGTGGAGTTTCAAGTCAGGTTTGCCTTTCTGGTGGCAGCAAAGCTCCTTGTCCTCAGCTATGGACCATGTAGCCAGGGGAAGGGTAGCAGCAGCCCCATTTTAAATTGCCACAGGGCCTCCCCACCCCAACTGTTCTTACTGAGGTTCAGGTAGGCATTTTATTTTATTTTATTTTAAGATAATATATTATACCTGTATGTAGAGTACAATGTTGATTTTCAATAATTGTGTACAATGTGTGATGGTTACATCAGGAGAGTTAGCTTATTCATCATTACAATATGCAATTATTTTTTGTGTCCATAGTTATTTTTGAATGAACACTTCTCAATTTGTCATTTTCTAGAATTCCGGGATGGTTTATTTTGAAAAATGTGTCCAGTGGTATCACTGATTTTGACATAGAAGAGATACTGTGCTTTTAGCTCTTCCATGCTGGAAGTCCTGCTCCATGTAGATATTTTGTAAAATTATAAATCAGACAAAGAAATCAGTTTCTGAAAATTTAAAGCAAAATGTAAAATACGAGCATAACCATTTATCGATTTGGTGATATACCACAGAGACAGGGACTCTTTCAAATGAATTTGAAGCACAACAATTTGACTGTACATCCCTAGGTGGATATATTCTAAAGTCAAAAAACAAATCTTAACTTGTTTCCAAAAATTGTACTGTTGATGGTAGTGTTTGTATTCTTATTCTAAGACTGTCATGTGTGTATTGTGGGGTGAGGTGAGTACATAATTATGTTGATTCATTGGGAATCAGAATTTTCTGTGTGGGAGAAAAGAAAAGTAGATGTGAGATAGATGAGTAAAATCCAGTAGTTCTGAACTTGAATTGAAAGTGTAAATATGAGCTCATGACGATTTAAGAAAGACGCATTTTTTTTTTAAGCTTTGCTCTCTCAGAAGGCCTAGAAACCTGCACTACCCTAGGACCCATATTATGTTTCCCCATCATATTTTCCATCTAAAAGGGACCATAGATTCTTGGAAAGGTGACTAATTTCTATCATGGGGCAGAAAATTTCTACAAAAGCCTGGAAGAGTCTTGCTACATCAGAAAACAATGAAGTGCTTAATGATGGAGGCATGCTAAAAGAATCCAAGAACAGCTGACTTGAAAAGTACCCTTCTGTCACAGATGGGGCAATTTGAGCCTCAATAAAAACAATGACTGTGATAGATTTAAGCATTTCGAATAAGTGAAAATCGATGAGCATACATCTAAGCAAAAAAAAAAAAAAAAAGAAAAAAAAAGAAAAAAAGAAAAGCAAAAAACATCAGTCACACATGGAGGATGCCATCTAAACAGTTGATTCTCTTGAAAAATGATGAATAGAGAGAATAAAATATTTATTTTTTTGTTACCTCAGGGTAATGAGATAGTTATTGAGGAGAATGTCTCTTTTTAGAAATATTCTAACAAGTAAATGAAGGATGTATAACACTATTTTGTTAGTCCTAGGTCATTTGTCCATAGGTGTGGCTCAGAGATCCTTTTAGAGGGTTCACAGTTCAAAGCTATTCTTTTAACAATGCTGACATGCTATTTAACATTTTTATTCTA